CCTCCTCATCAATTTCTTACCTCAAGAACAGCCAACACAGTATCCAGCTGGTCTTCCCGCAGCGTGATGTTGTTGGAAATTTTTCTCATTGTGTGTATGGACTGCAATCTCACCTCCTCAATTTCGTCATTAAACATGTCAACCAAAAAATCCAGGCATTTCTCCGCAAAAGAAGGCGAGGACTGAGCCAACATACAGAGGGCTTCAACCGCAGCGATCCGAACCTCTATTAGGAAAGAGAGAGCGAATTAATTGTTAGTGCTGTTCAACAGGATGTACCACTCAACAGCCAGGCCTCACATTATTCAAGGACTGGACTAAGGGCAGGAGATGCTAAAGAAACTCAGAGGATGATGGAGATTAAACAAGGACCCATGCCCTTAGGGACCATTTTACAGACAAGTCTTCAAATCAAAAGCTTCATCTCTAACACAGCACACGGTGCTGTTGTAAGCATCTGCAGAGGGACTTGCAGGTGAAAAATAGGCCCCCTATCCAGCAGTAAGTGTTACGTATTTCATAGCGCATTTTGCAAGTGTAGCTATAACCCTGGTACCTTAAGCAAACTAATTTAGATAATTAAACTCTGCCTGTTTTATTCTTCCTGACGTTTTAATTGCTTGGAGCATTCACTGCACTTTTAGCTTGCTATGTAGCACTTTATGAATTGCTGAAAAGCCCTAGAGTACCATCACTTTGGCAAGAAACAGAATTAAATTCCTCTGCTTCATGACTCTGGATTCCTCAAAAGAAAGAAAAAAGGTACCACCTAATTATTAAAATTACTCAGAATTTAAGCAAAAAAGCATCAAACCATGTCCATACTGTATTGCTGCTGTAAAACATAGCAGGAATTTGAAGAATACCCAAATATAACAAGCTTAAGTGGAGATGAGATTCTCTTCCCTGCAGCCATACTCACTAGCATCCATAATATTCATGTGCTGGGATAATAAAAATAAGAAATAATCCGATGTCTCGCAAACATTATTGTTTGAAACATATTTTTATTTTTCACTCAAATTAGCTCATCTTGAAAACATTTACTTAAACCCATGTGCAGCTTTTAGGCCCATTGTTCTTAAAGAACAAACTGAGTTCCTGATGATTCTGATTAAACAGAAAAATGCAAACACAGCAAGATCCCTGCTTATTCAGTAACAAAGCTTTTGTCACAGCGATGAGTCTCCGCAGTCATTAAGACCAAGGTATTAGAGAAGAGTAACATTTTGCCAATATTGCTTCCATGAGCTGCCACACTAATTTAGATTTAAGTTACAACGTGGAATTCAAGAAATGAAACAGCCTTCCAAGTAAGGAAGAAGAGAGTTCAGCAGTATTTAAAAATGCTGCAGTGGAGAAAGAGATCTACAGTAACGAGTGGAGCATCTCTCTGATGAGGAGCAGCTGAGGGAGCTGGGTCTCTTTTGCTTGGAGAAGAGGAGACTGAGGGGTGGCCTCATTCATGGTTATAAACTTGTGAAGGGTGAGTATCAGGAGGAAGGAGCCAGGCTCTGCTCAGTGACAGCCAATGACAGGACAAGGGGAAATGGGAGCAAGCTGGAGCATAGGAGGTTCAACCTGAACATGAGGACAAACTTTGTCACTGTAAGGGTGCCAGAACATGGCCCAGGCTGCCCAGAGAGGTTGTGGAGTCTCCTCTGGAGACACCCAAACCCCTAGACATGTTCCTGTGTGACCTGGTCTAGGTGATCCTGCTCTGGCAGGGGGGTTGGACTGGATGAGCTTTCGAGGTCCCTTCCAACTCCTAATATTCTGTGACTCTGTGAAAGAACTGGGTATATTCCACATCTGTCCATGCCATCAACACTCCCTGCCAGCACCGTACTGCCACAAAACCTACAGTACAAGAAACTGGAGAAAGTGTTTCACAGGTCAATGGACTGAGCCAGTGAAACATTTTTTACTGTTACTCAGGAGAAAAAAAAAGTTGCATTTTCAAGCTTCAGGGAGAATTTCGCCACTTGGAAAACATGCTTTTATTTGCAGGAGACATGGAACAATAAACCAGCTTTTACAACACAGTCTACAGCAATATTTTTGTTATGGTGGTTGCGTACTTTCTAATTTAGCATTGTCCTCCCACTAACACTAAAAGCAAATTCAGGAATAACATTCAGAGCTCAGCATTTTCGTGGTTCTATGCAAACACCAGCCATTCTCAATAGCCTTAAGAAATATAAATCTTCACTTTATCCATGGGAAAGTTGGGCTGGAAAGGGCAGCACTCAGACTTTCCTGAGGCTGTCAGCATGGTAAATGCTACAGCCAAACTGAGAAGCTCAAGAATGCCTGGGTTGCAGTCTGACACTCATAATTCAACCTGTTCAAAAGAACAGATCAGATCTAATCTGCTGGAAAGAGTCTATGGCCTCCAAGTCCATCATAGCAAGACTGCGAGAGACCAACATGACAGCACTGTGGGACAGGTAAACGTGATCTCAGAACACAGGCACTTCCATTTAAGAAAAAGAATTACCAATAACATTGCTAAAAATGTAAGCAAGACCTCACCTGAAATTTAAGTTACCTGGAAATATACAGATCCATCACTAATTTTCAAGAATAATGCATTCTCATTGGCCAAGAGGAAAGCTTTTATGTCAGCAGGGACTAAAAGGAGGTCAGCCTGTTGAGCACCTTGCAAAATGAAAGCTGTCTATTAATATGTTACGGAAGCCAGATCCTGGGAGAAGCAACAACTATTTGATCTGAAACCTACCAGTGGCTAAGAACAAATGGGTACAAATTGGCTAAGGATAAAATTGGGTTGGAAAGAAGAAAACCTTCTGTTTGTTGTAGCTCTTGGATTCTGAAATATTTTGAAAAGTATGTGGGTTTGTCTCCGCTAGCTCTGACCTTTGTTAGGATGGAAGCTGCTATGTTTACAAAATGAATGATTACTGGGCTCCACGGACACAGGTTCCTTGTAGCACCACGTTTTAAACAAGATCTCTAAAACTCAATTTTCTTTCCTGCAGAGAAAACACCAGTTTCAAACAGCAGCAACTAATGGTGCCAATTTAGAGCCACATGAAACTGTTAAGTTTAAGTCAATAAAAAAACAATCCCAGTGGGTTTCTGAATAACAAAAGCAACCACTTCTTACCAGGTATTTTACTAAAACTTTACCATTTATAGGACGCTATTTCTTTTTGGCTACTCACTGGAACATTTCTATCCAAAATTCTGTGCAACGCTGCAGCATCTTTCAAAGAACTGCCATATCAGAGATCACAGGGGAATAAAACCTCACCACCATGAAGTCATGATCTGTTAAAAAACCCAAACGCAATAGCCAAGTGATCTATTTTTACCTAAAACCCCAAAGCTTATTAGCCGGCACACATCTCCTCCTTTAGTCACTCCACAGTAAGTTAACACTTACCATACATCTCATCTTCAAGGCCATGAACAAAGGCCCCACAAGCTCCTGATTCTATCAAGTTTACAGCACCTGTATCAATTTCTTCTTTGGGAGCATCATCTCCCCATTTTCTGCCACTTGAAAACTCCCCAGAGCTGTAGAGTTCCTTGGCTCGTTCGTGTGCAGTGCGCTTCCTCTGTTCAAACAAGGTTTTCAGTTACCACCATGGTAAATTTTGAAGATGACTGAATAAAATGTTAAATGGCTTTCTTGGGATTTGAAAACAGATGTAGCTAGAGGCTTAGACATTGACAGACACAGGCAAATGCCAAGAAAAGCAAATAATACCTTCTCTTCTATGAATATTCCTAATTGTCAGTAACTCTGTACTTTCCATGTTGGGAAAGGATAATAACTAACATATTTCAATTAATGCATTCTTAGACATCCATTATAAGAACAGCCAAACTGGGTCAGAGCAAAGGCTTAGTTAAGTATCCAATAACTGATCAGCAAAACCAGACATTATCATTTTGTAGTTCAACTTGTTAAACTGCAACTAAATACTTTCATGACTATTGGTACTTCACAGCATTCAGCAATGTGTACAATGCGATATTCAGCATGCTCAGTACTCCATCTCCTTTCTACCCACACCGTAAAGAAAGCTGCTAAGCACTTTCTTTAATGGACTTTACAAAGCAGCCCACAAAAACTAGCAGCTCTGGCTTCATTCTTTTGTGGACAGAAAAACTGAACCTAACACCTCAAACAAGCTGCTTAGAGAAGGAATTTTACTGCAAAGTTTTGCTCAAAGGGCTCAGGAGTCCCAGCCTCTCACTACTTGTGTGTCTTGAAATGTCTAAGTCTACTGGCTGGATCTTGCAGGACGTTCCCATACGCTTGCTCCTAAAACTAGGATGCAATCTCTCCGTAGACAATAAAGAAAGTTTTTAGCCAAAAGACTGCCAGAAGAACACAAAGCTCTACCTCCCATTTGCGAAACCTGAATAGCCTAGAGTCATTTATTACACGCTCGGCTAATGAAACCTAAACCAGCAATTGCTTCGTTGACTTTAACCTAAAAGAAAATCTGTCATCATCAATTAACTCTCAGCAGCCCTGAGGCAAGGACGTGGTAAACAAACACACTCACCATTAAGTACCTGTGATGTGATTTTAGTACACTACACACAGTAAAAACAAACCCAAACAGTTACATACCCTCAGATCTGACATAAGCTTCTTGTCAAGGGTCTGCTCCAAGAAGTGGGAGCTAACTTGTTGCATAGAGCCCTAAAGAAAAGAAAAAAAAATCAAAAGGAAGAAACAGGATTATTCTAAATGACACCACATAATTTCCTGATTTATCCCAACATGACATCCAATCTGATGCACTCATTCCAAAAGCTTTACACCATTGCTTGACATCACCTTATGTCAGAATCTAAAGAAGTTTACTTAAGACACTCAGGATGTCTTATTTTCCCCCTGAGGTTAATATGGTCTTTCTTGAGTTCAGTTGGTTCACAGATTCTGTGCTGGAGAAGTAGGGGGATGGGAATTATGACAAGTATTTGGGTTTTTCTTGGATACCCAACCCTCTGATCTCAAGGAAAGAATCATTGCAGAGTTTCTTCAACCTCTCTCATTTCTTTCTTCTCAGAATTCAGGTAGAAATTCACCTATACAGTTTTTAAACATCCTCCCATTTCTTGTAAAATATACATGAAAAGTACTGTAAGATGAACTACTTTTCACATAGAGAATAACTTACCAATAACTTAGCAGCTTGTACTCTAACAACCCAGGAACCATCGCTAACCATGTGACAAATTTTTCCAAATGCATCATCAACCAAGCGAATTTCTTCATTAGAGGAAGGAATCGGAACGATGCTAATAGAGAAACATAAATCAGTACTCTGTTCTTATGCTCTGTGGGATGGCATCAAGCAAGAAACAACTACACTGAATTCCTATGGATCTGCAACAAATATCAAGAACCAAAGCTTCATCTGTATCAGTGCATTCTTATCAGGTATCAGCAATTAGTACACATCAGTTTTCTAACAGCTACTCATGAGACTTACTAGCACAAACCCCTCAGGAGCAGGATGATTACTATGCCAATACTTTGAGTCACTTTGCATAGGGCACATACCTTTCAGGGTAAAGTTGACTGAGGACCCAAATTAACTGAACTGCAGCACTGCGCACTTGCTCGTAATCATCTGCCAACAGCTTGCAGGCCTGCAAGAAGATTCACAGTCCAATATACCCAAAACATCTCCTCCTGACCTGTTGTTCACTCCCCACAATGCAATTAGGATCCTTACCACAAAGCAGTTAGGACATATTATAAAATTCAGTCTTCCCTTCCCCTCCCTACTATTTCTGAGTTTGTTTAGGTAGACCAGTCCTAATGAAGTCGAACGGGAACACGCTGCAAAACTCCAGAACTGCTTGTACCATACAGGAAGCATCAACTGTGAATCTGCAGTTGAACTAATTTGATACAGGCTTCAGCTATGCGCCCTACTGACATTACACACATCGGCTTTGTGTGGTGTTTGATGAACAAGGGTTTAAGACTTGGAGACTGCCAGATGACAGGAATAATGACAGAATGCCTTGTCCTTCCCATGATTATCTCCCCTAATAAACAATATACTCCAATCAAAGCATATGCTTTAGTGTGTTTAAATACAGATTTGTATTTGCACTGCCATAGAACAATAAGGAATACAGGCAACCTAGGGGCAAAATACGCCACCTCCGTTCAGTGTCCTCTCAAAGCACAGTGTCACAGAATCTAAAAAGCAAGATATACAAACAAGTACAAAATAAATACAAATTAATACAAGGTTTTACCTGACTGTAAATAGCCTGCTGTAATTTTAATCCTCTTTCATGAAGCTGCAGCTAGAGGGAAAAAAAAAACAAATACAAGAAAGTGTAACTATAGGTTTAAGTGACACAGACTAAGTTTTCACCACTGTTTTTTCTGCTAGGAGTGAACTTAGTTGCTTGCATTTCTTGATTGCTGCTGTAATTAAACTATTTCATCATCTTAACTTCAGTGTATTCTTTTTAAACTTCACAGCCAGTCATATTTTGACTGATTTGGAAAACACAATTTATATAAATGCACTGCCTGTCCATTCTCCCAACCTTCAAACAATTGTTCAGTGTTAGCCATAATCAACCACAATTACAATAGACATGGGTGTCTTCAAAATAATTAGTTTACCCTGTAAAATTTCTCCATTTCTGAACCAGAGGTACAGCAAAAACTGTCCTAATGAACACTGTTTCTATCTGGAATAAAGAAGTATCATGAATCTGACTTATAAGCAAAAGGATAGTATCTGGTTTAATACTGTCAACAAGAAAGCAAACAGTTGCTTTTCTGTATCCACTTCTTCAAAAGTAAAACATGCCAGTGACAAAATTCAAGGAAAAAAGGCCAAAAACAACAAAAAAACAAAGACCCGACAGAAAGACAATTAACTTTGTGCTGTAGGTCATAAACATTGCTATGGATTTGGTTGAATGCCATTGTAAAGGTCACTCAAACAATTTTAATAAACATTTCGACCAAAAAAAACCAGATTGAAATGGAACAGAAGGCAGAGTGCAGCCTCCAGCAGAGGGAGATCCCAGACAGATTCAAGTGAGATCTGATCTCCTCAAACTTTCTTTGGAGTTTAGGGTCATTAATTCAAATACCTCTGTTGACCATCATGTCAGATAGGATACTGTTATAAACATTAAGGGTGACAGAGAAACTTCTGTATACCCACATACTCACAGGCAATTTGCACTAAGCAAAATTCTCAAGTGCGCTGGCTTTGCTTGCATTTCTGCAAAAGCTGAATACTTCTGAAGTGACCCCATGCTTCCATCCACATGAAAACCAATAAACCTCAAACAGTTACAGAATGCTAATGAACGTGACCATGGGGCAAAACATAAATGTTGTTTAAAAGCAAACAGAATGCTTTCTGGACTTATCACACAGGTTTCCTGTCATAAGCAGCCACTTGTTGTGTGTTGGACTACTAGTGCCTTATTTAAATTGTGATAATCAAAGCTAAATCAAGAAAGAAAGAACCTACATACACTCAAAAAAGTAAAATTAAAAAGCTTCTTCAGCTATAGCCGAAACAGAAATTGTTATGAATCACTAAAGTGGCTTTTGAGATCACACATTACTCTCATATTTCACAACCCAGCTTATTTTTCCTAGTAATTTTGATATACTAAATTGACTTTTACTAAGTTTATTTAATAACCTCTAACCCAAACCTCTTTGGACCACTTTGCAGCCCCCTGCCAGCTTCCTCACATAATCCCAAAGAGTTTATTCCACTGTACCAGAAATCTTTACCATAGCTTTTATAGCTGCAGTCCTAACACGAGGGTCCTGGTCATTAAAATGATCTCCTATTATCTTCTGCACATCTTTGGCAGCCTGGCTTTCAACTTCCTTCACAACACCTTTTTCAACTGGTCCAAGACAGCCAATTAACTGAAGACACTTATTTCTTACACCATGGGAAGAATCTGTCAGATGCTGTGAAATGGGAGAGAAGAACAGATGTAACTGTTGAATAACAACGAATCATACTACGATTCCTAGCAGTTAAAGAAAAAACTTATTATTGTTACAGTTGTTGAGAAAAATGAAAATAATTTAAACACTGACTACATATTTTTTCCTGTAGCAGTGATAAAAGCCCCAGGGAGGCCGTCTTACCTTGCAGGCTACCTCTACCAGTCTCATCCTGACAGACGGATTCTCCGTGAGTTTTGTGCCGATCACCAACAGGGTGTCCAGCAGCTGAGCAAGGACTTGGTGAGACTCTGCAAAACAAAACAGTGGAAGGTTACACACCTCCTTACTGAGCTCCTCACCAGCTACAGAATCACAGAGTCATTTCAGTCAGAAAGTTTTCCTGAAGCCTTCTCCATTCAAGTTCAGAATAAGCCCAGCTCCCTCAGCTTCTCCTTGCACATCACGTACTCCAGCCCTCGACTACCTCAGTGGCCATCTGGAGAACTCGCTCAACCTCACCAGCACTCATCTGGCACTGGGGAGCCCAAAACTGGACGCAGTATTCCACATGTGGTCTAACCAGTGCTGAGTAAAGAGGAATAAACTCTTCCCTTGGCCGGCTGGCTACACTCCTGTTGATACAGCCTGGTACACAGTGAGCCTTCACTTCAGACCTACTCTTCACCTGGACCACCACAACACTCTTGCCTAAGTTGGAGAGACATGAGTTTGGTAGACAGACTGTTATGTGGGTTAAGAATTGGCTGGATGTCCTCATCCAAAGAGTTACAGTCAATGGCTTAATGTCCAAATGGAGACCAGTATTAAGTGGTGTCCCTCAGGTGTCCGTATGAGGACCAGTGCTGCTCAGGAACTTTACTAACAACATACACAGTGGGACTGAGTGCACCCTCAGCAAGTTTGCAGACCACACCAAGCTGTGTGGTGTGGTTGATACTCTAGAGAGGGGATGTCATCCAGAGGGACCCTTGATAGTCTTGAGGAGTGGGTCCATGTGAATCTCATGAGGTTCAACAAGGCCAAATGCAAGGTACTGCACACGGGTTGGGGCAATTCTCAGTATCAATCCAGGCTGGGGGATCAAGAGATTGAGAGCACATCCCTGCAGAGGACTTGCGGGTACTGATGGATGAAAAGCTGGACAGGAGCAGGCAATGTATGCTCACAGCTCAGAAAGTCAAACATATCCTGGGCTACATCTAAAGAAGCCTGACCAGCAGAGTGAGGGAGATAATTCTCTTCCTCTGCTCTGCTCTCAATATCCCACCTGCAGTCCTGCACCCAGCTCTGGGGTCCTCAGCACAAGAAAGACATGGACCTGTTGGAGTGGGTCCAGAGGAGGTCCAAAAAGATGATGAGAGGGCTGGAACACCTCTGTTACGGAGACAGAGTTGGGGTTGTTCAACCTGGAGAAAAGAAGGCTCCAGGGAGACCTTATTGTGGCCCTTCAATACTTTGAAGGGACTTATAAGAAAGACAGAGAGACTTTTTACCAAAGCAGGTAAAGAGTCAGGACAAAGGGCAACAGTTTTAAACTAAAAGTGCCTAGACGCAGACTGGATACTGGGGCAATGAGGGCAGTGAGACACTGGCACAGGTTGCCCAGGGAAGCTGTGGATGCCCCCTCCTTGGCAGTGTTCAAGGCCAGGTTGGATGGGGCTTTGAGCAGCCTGGGCTGGTGGGAGGTGTCCCTGCCCATGGCAGGGGTTGGACTGGGTGAGCTTTGAGGTCCCTTCCAACCCAAACCATTCTGTGATTCTATAAGTGACACTAAAACAAAATTAAACTACATCAAGTTAAGTACATACAAACTATGAATATAACACAGAAAATACAAATGCCATAAACAGGATAACTTATATTTTACTGCCTATTACAAATCCAATGCTAATAAACCAGTGCCTTTTGCATTAGCTCTGAGGAGCTGGTCCACAGCATAAGGAAAATAATCCAAAGAAGGCTGCACTTTAAGCAACTGTCCTCTAAATCAGAGCATTGCAGAGCAACAGCTCTCACACAGAGACAGAAAAGCAACCTTTGTTCTCCCTTGAAACAAAGGTACAGTGCAGGCAGGTCTGAGGAACATGTTTCTCCTCCTCAGAACATGGCACTGTCTGTCACCATTCACAAAAGCAGGAAATAAATACTCTGAGCAACAATTCCCAATCTAAGGACATTGCCACTGTCCTAAATGCTTAAAAGGCAACATGATTCTGCCTTGACCTCAAGCACCATCTGAAAAGTGAGACTCACTCTCATTTTGAAGCGTGTTGATGGCATCATCCACAATGCAGTCTGGGGAAAACCCCGCAGTCTTCGATAACAAGCCCAGTAAGGAAGCAATCTTCAGTCTTACAGAGGCATCGTTCTCCTGGAAGGAAACGGCAGAAACCCTCATTCATTTTCCAGCTTGTAAATCACTAAACAGTACACACAGGCAGGACCCACACATAACCCAGTACAAGGGTTTGATTTTTACTGTCAGGCTACTTCCTGCTCCATATGTCCACAGCACACCCCATTACCCACACCGGAACATTTAAGTGGCAGCTTCCAGTACATTCCAAAATGATTATTTTACCCATAATTCCTCAAAATTACCTTCATATTGTTTGAAAATGTCAAGTTTTCAAGATGCTGGGAAATTCACTGTTGATAATGTTACTATCTTTGCAAGTTTTTAATGAAAAAAATGGCAGAATTTTAGAAGATGAACTGGGACCGATGGCCTCTTGACTTTTGCTAAGCAGCAAGGTTTGTGGGCTACAGAAAACCATCGTTTCTCTCAGTGATGGAGAGGAATCCTGCCAACCCAACAGCAAAAAAAGAAAGAAACCCAACACAGCAAGGTAAGAAAAATAACAGAAGCATATGTTACCTGCATACATCTGTTCATTTAAGCAACAGCAAAAGCTGTCATGGGTGATAATTACAGAAATAAGCTTCACAAACCAGTATTTCTTATAAATTCATTTTAAAAGTTCATGCATTTCAAGGAGTTTTTATTTTACGACATGCACACACGACTTCTGGTCATAACTGGAAGCTCTCTCTTTCTAATCCAAGGATATCCAGTACAGGTTAGGAAGACAAAAAGTCTGGATTTCATACCTCGGTCTTACCACGCAATCGTGCAGTGTTGAACACAGAGATGCAGAAATACTACAGCTACAAATATTACCTCTTTCAACAGGTGCAGCAATATTACAGTCAAAAGATTCACATTTTTCACCAGTTTAGGAGATAATTTAGTGTCACACAAACCCCCAAGTGATAAATGTGATACTGGTGGGAGTAATCTCTTTCTCAACTGACCTGAGAAGAATTTTCTCTTTTCAAGGTTGAAATTATGTCCCTGAACAACAGTTAGTGTCACTGGACTACTTAAAGCAGTGGTAAGATGCACAGATTCCCCCAGTATGACACATTTAGTGCTTACTCACCATTACTCATGTTCTTTTACTAAAAGGACAACCCTCTTCATAAGCACAGATTAAAACAGTGATTTTGAAAAGGACACTTATAAAGGCACTTTTAGAAACTTTATGAACACTGTCTGCAACATTATTACCAAGTTACAAGCAGCCTCCCACTCCAGAGGGCATTTTGTCCCTCTTTCTAATGGTTCAGGAGCAGGAAATTAGAGAAATGCATCCTTTCAGTTTGCAGGGCTGACCGCTGTCTCCATGATCAGAACACCCACCACCTTCAAAAATCAGGAGGAGACTTTCAGGATCACCTGAGGCTACCGTTTGAGGACAGACCGTCCCCAGCAGCATGGGGACACCAATACAACCCCAGTGTACAGTATCCTGTTCCCCTGGCTTTCCTTCCCACATAGCAACATGCCCCCTGCTCAGCTGTGTCGCAGCCCTGTCAGCAGGGCCATGGGAACCAGGGGGGGAAAAGGGAGGAAAAAAAAAGCCAGATTATTATTCTGCTTCATTTTGGAGGCCATGAGGACTCTTTGAGGAGTGTCCTATCCTAACATAAAGGAATGAAAGAGCAGGAGGCTGCAGCACTATTAACAAAACAAGGACACTACAATAACACATCATTACACAACTCCCACCACACTTACAGCTTTCAAGGTTAAGTTTCTGAAGGATCAGGTCAAGTGCAAGTTTTCTTGTGATCCTAAGAAACCAGTTCTTCAGAAAATGTTGTCCTTAAGTAAAATAATGTCAGCTACAGGACTGCAATGCTTTTTAAAAGCTGGTTTCTGTAGCAGGCTGCACACTGGAAAATACAACCTCATCTGTAGATTTAGGAGCCTCTCTTCTAATACAGGCTACAACACAAACTTCACACAAACAACCTGCATTATTTGATCAGGAATGATCGTTGTCTTCACACTGGGGATTAGTCCAATGACAAAAATAAGTTCCAACCAAAAATTATGTAAAACAGTCTCAACACAAAAGCCAAAGCAGGTAAAGTACAGAAATAGATAAAATGCAGAGTTTAGAGCTTAGAGTTTTAGTGCAAGTTCAAAGCAAAACAGACTCCATTGTAAAAAGACAGACAGAATAGCACAAGGACATTTATGAGAAATGTTTCAGCCTACAGCACAGCTTTGTCAGAAGCAATAAACTTTTGCTTTATCAAGTGAAGGATCAATATCTGGATACCATGAAGCGCAAGTTACTTCTGTTACTTATTTGTTATTCTGCTGTTAAGATTTTTTTGTTGAAAAGTTTTTCAGAAGCACCATTTTAAAAGTGCTTTGTTTTCAGCATAAGCAACAGCTAAAAGTTTCTCCACTGCTAGAGGAAATGAAGAGCATGGTAAGGAAACATCAGTCAGGAAGGATTCAGATAAAGTCAAGCCAGGTTTGGACAGGCAGGTTCCCTGGAAAACTCCCTGTCATGTCTATTGTCCCTTGTTAAGTTAATTTAAGACTAATCATGCAGGGCACCGGCAGGGATAACCCAGCCACATCCCTGTCACCAGCTCCTGAAACCATCAGCAAAGGGACCAAGTAACATGATCAGAAATCACTTGGGTAAAGCACTACACTCATTCTCCTCACACAGCACACTCAACAGCCCAGGTTGTTGACAACTCACTCAGCAACACGGGAGACTGTGACTCCCTATTCCACATCCAACACCAAGAAAACAAGACCAGGAGGAGGATTCTGGAAGCACACTTGGCTCCCAGCTTCACCACCTTGTAATAATGCTCCAGCAGGATCCTGACAACCCCTTCCACGCTCTCCACTTCCACGGGCTTCCTGGCAAACTGGAGCAGGTACTGCAAGGCATCTGCGGGCGAGGTGGCTTTGCACAGGTCGACATGGAGCGCTGCTGACTTGCTGGGCTTGGTCAGCCGCAGCTTCTTTGCAGACAGGTCCTCGTGCTGCTGCTGCGGGCAGAGAAATGGCTCAGAGACACAAAGTAAATCCTGACACACTCCTTTCCTGAGTGAACACCGTCTCAGCACTAAACCCGAGGAAGCTCCTGTGCCCCACAGCACTCACTGGCCTCTCCATCAGCTACCTTCGGAAGGAACACATCTCCAGCCCCTCGGGCACCTCCCATCCTACCCAGGTCGCCCCTATCCCCAGGAAACTCTGACTCTCCTTTTCCTACCTCAGCCAGGGGCAAATCCAGCCCTTTCTCACCTCAGGGTAAACACGGCTTCTCCCGTGCCCACCGGCCTAGAGCATCCCAGATGCTCTCTGCCATCCTCCCGCGAAGCCGCGTCCTCCTCCCCAGCAATCGCGGACCCCCTCCAGGTAGCCCCCTCCCCGCCCTGAGGGGCGCACTGTCTTCCCCGCACACACCCTAAGGCAGCCTCCGCTTTCCTAAATCCGGGGCCGATTCGTCCCGCTCCTCCCTGGTCCCTCACGGGTGCGCCGAGACCCCCATCCCAAGGCTGCGGGCAGCATCCCCGGGCTAGGCCTGGGGTTAGGCCGGAAGCTTCTCCCAC